CCCCAGCCCCACACTGCCGACAGCCCCCAGCACACGCCCCCTCTTCCCCTCTTGCAGTACCACACCAGCAGGCTGAGCCAGAGAGGGGCCGATGAAGCTTCTATGGCTTCGTCTTCCCTGACATCCAGCTTGAGCTGAAGTGGGTAGCACGGAAGGTGAGGCCAAGGGGAACATGTCCCCACTGTCGTCCCATGCCCTATGTCTGGTGCTGCACAGGCCAGCAATCCCCCAGAGATGCTCTCGCAGATGGCTGCAAGTAACCCACCAGACCCTCATTTATCCAAAAAGGCCCACTTCTGCAGAAACTGGGGATTTTGAGAGAGTACGTGGCTTTATCAGTGGCCCGGTGTCACCAGCCAGGCAGCCTCCCCAGGGGCACATGGCTCTGATGCCGGCTGCCCCTGTGCCATCCCCAGAGATGCTGCATCTGCCGGCTGCGGGGAGCCTCGGTCACCTGCTGGGGCCGGTATTGCCCCCGAAACTTCTACTTCCCCTGCAGCAGCAAGCAATGATGCATTTCCCAGTTTTGGGGGGAGTTCAAGTGAGTGCAGCCGCTCCACAGGGCCAGAGCCGGGGCCAGGGCGGAGGAGGACTAAGACTGAGCTGTCATCTCCGTCCCGCAGGTGCTTCTGCTGGAAGAATCTGCCGGTGCAGCAGGTCCAGGCAGCGCAGTGGGACCAGACCCCCTGCCTCATCTGCCAGGAGGCAGTGGCGGGGCAGCCCTGCCCCTGCTGCGACACCCTGGTCTGTCCCACCTGTGCCAGCGCCTGGTTCCACCACCACAGCATCCAGGTAGGTGGCATTGCCCCCAGCCCCTGACATCACCCTGTCGTCACCCCATCGCCCAGCTCTGGGGGAGCAAGCGGGACCCCCCTGCCACTGATGCCAGCTCTGCCCCAGCGCCAGGCACCGCGCGCTGCCCTGCACCACTTCTGCTGCCCACTCTGTCGGGACATGTCGACCTTCCAGGTGGAGATGTTTCGCCTCGGCATCAAAATCCCAACAGGTCAGTACCCTCCCCACTGCCTCCCTCCTGCTCCGCGATGGCCGGTCTCCTCCTGCCTCTCTGGGTGCTGGTGGGGGGTCCCCCTCCGTGGGGCTGAGCGCTGACTGGCTCCCGCAGGCATGCTGCCTGGGAGGAGGACGGGGCCTTCAATGACCATCACTGGTGGCACAGCTCCTGCAACACCATCCAGTGTCTGTGCCCAGCAGGACGGGAGCAGTCAGAGGGGAAGGGGTGAATGTCGGTGGCCCTGGACCCCACAGCCCCAGTGAGGACCTTATAGCAGCCTTCCAGTACTTAAAGGGGGCCTATAGTAAAGATATGGAGGGATTCTTGAGTGCAGTGATAGGACGAGGGGTAACGGTTTTGAACTGAAAGAGGGTAGATTTAGAGTAGATATCAGGAAGAAATTCTTTACTGGCAGGGTGGTGAGACACTGGAACAGGTTGCCCAGGGAAGTTGTGGATGTCCCCTCCCTGGAAGTGTTCAAGGCCAGGTTGGACGAGGCTTTGAGCAACCTGATCTAATGGAAAGTGTCTGCCCATGGCAGGGGGGTTGGAACTAAATGATCTTGAAGGTCCCTTCCAACCCAAACCATTCTACGATTCTATGATTCTATGATTCAATGTAAATTACAACTTAGAAGCTCTTAAATGTTGGCTTTGGAGAAGTAGAGTGAGAGTTTACTGCAGGCTGCACAGACAAGTAGAATGAGCGAGTCAGTTGGAAACAGTATGTTTTTTGTTTTAATATAGATAAACCTGTCTTGGGTTATAGTCTGGCTAGGAGGGCAATTAGGATTAGGGTTTGGAGTATGAGAACTTTCTCTAAATAAAGAGTTAGGTAGGTCAGTTTATTACCGATCAAACTGGGCTTTGAAAAATGAAATGCAGTAGGACAAAGATGTAGAAATACTTTGGGAGAGGTATGTCTCCCAGTGACCTGGATATTATCAAAGTTAAGATTTGGGCTAGATTTTGGAGAATGAAAGGTTGAAGTGCATTTGTTATAGAATAATGAGCCATACAGAAGAAATGTGAAAGAACTGGATGGGAAGAGCAAGCAGCTCTCCTAAAACTTTGACACAGATTTGATTCACCTGAGTGTTGTTCTTGGCGCAGCTAGAATGAGGACCAAGATTTGAAAAATAAAAGGTAGAACTGCTTTTTCATACATGGGATGAGGGTTGTGGTTGGGAAGAGGTGATGGGTTTGGTGGGAATTTTACCAACGCTCGAGTATTAAGAAAATCATTCATTACAGAGAGGACTGAGGATCATAAAAACAAGCTTTTATATTTCACCTTGTCCGTCTTACATGGATGGAACAAAAAATATGCAATGGTGCTGTTCTTTGCTAAAATCTAGTTTGGCTAGGAGTGGGGCTTTGGAAAAGTCCTAAAACTTGTAGGGCCCATGTTACTACTTGGAGTTATCTATGGTACCCCAGAGGAAAGGGAAAGGCACCCTGGGAAACATCTAACACATCACTTTCCAGCTGGGGCAGACTTTTGGCTAAGGTTATTTTTTGCAAAAGGTTCACATACATCTCTTCTGTACACCCTCAGTAGGGTCCTGGGGAGGCCAAGTGAGGGCATATTTGGACAAAGCCAGCAGCACCCTTGCAAACCCGCCACACTTATCCTACCTGCCCTGCATGTTGGCTGGCTAGGCTCAGCCTGCAGTCTAAGATAGAAGATGGAGATGAGAAAGGCTGCAACTGCTCTCATTTCCAGCGCTCTGCAACAGAGTATTTGAAACACTGGGCAGTTTCTATCACTCACAAAAGATTTTAGATGTATGTAGAATACATGAAGGTGCAAATTCAATGGTGAATTGGTTTTGGTAAAACTGAAGCCAGAAGCAGCTGGTCCAGCTCTTTACACTGACTCTTAAAGGAAAAGATCTCACTGTACTCAGAAGAATGTAATTTAAATCACATTCATGCCTCTGAACATAAGCTTCAAAGTCCTCCTCTCTTCTATTCTACTAGGAACCCTGCACTGTTCCATAAGTGCCATTAGACTTTCTTCTGTCTTTTTTTTAACTAAGACTTTCTCTGATCTTTTACTGCTTTGCAATGTCATCCTCACTCCAAATTTCTCTAATTTTCTTTTTCAAATGAGCAGAGGGCAAAAGAGAGACTTCTGAATGTGGTCTAAATCATGTTTTGTTAATGTTTCTTTTTTAATAAGGATAACAAAGAATGAATACACAAAAAGCAATGGTCCATCAACTCAGCTATAGCCCTCTGGAACAATGCAAACTAAATAGAGTCCTCAACAGCTTAACACTTCCATTGCTTATATCAGTTTTGGCATAGTCCTGGGGATTCCACTGAGCTGCTTTTCTATTGTGCTAAGGAAAAATGAAAGGAGAATTTGACCTGAAGTGCACAGGAAAGGGAAACGATAGAGTTGATTTCTCATTACCTCCCACTGCATGTTTCTTATTTACACTAAGGTGCACTCTATGATGAGTTTGGCCTCATCAACACCAATGTAAATCCAAAGTCTCTACACAGAAGTCCATAGAGTTATTTCGGCTTTTTACTTGTGGGAGTGAAGCACTTGGGCCAGGACATACAGAAAAATACCAAGCGGTGCTCACTCGACACAGATGTAAGGGCACTGGAGAATGAGATCCAACAAGCCAGCATAAGCAAAGTAATGGTGCTGCTGCATCCCTTACCTATTTCCAAAAAATTTCCCAGTATAGCTCAAAAACTCAAGCAAACAAATGCATAAAGCTATGCACAGCTACACTCTATATAAGACAAAGAGTGGGAACCTGTAAGAGTTTATATGGCATGGAGGTTGAATTTATTTGCAGAGAGCCTGAAAACTCAATCAATACTTCCAATGACAGACAAGACGAAACCATCTGTTCCAAAATGACTCAACAATACATATATACACTGTAATAATGAGACTAAAACAAGCTCTAAATCCCAAAATTGATGTGGAGAGCTCTGCAAGATTTGGGCAAGGCCGATGGGCTTCTTTTCCCATCATCATTTTGCCATACTTCAATGTATACTTCAATGCTCACTTTAATTGCTCTTCAATGCAATGTATACTGCAATACGTTTGCCTGCTTCTGCAATTTTGTCTTATAGCAACAGCTTCCAGGTTCATATGACTGAGAATCTCTGCACTGACTTAGGAAAATGTGGAAGAGAAAAGACAAGTCGTTTATATTGCTTACAAGGCAAAAATGAGAGTCCAGTAAAAATCCAACCTGGGGCATTGTTTTCAGAAATCTCATTATAGTTTAGGCAATCTATTTTTTTTCATAGGACTGATTTATAATGCGTGAAGGCTTATCGAAGTGAAGTTGACAGTACTACAGAGCTACCGCTTTAATTTGCTCAAGGTCACACATGAGATCTGAGGTGAATTTATGAAGTGAACTTTTGCCTCCACCACCAGCTAGACTCAGGGAAGTAACCCCACCACTACCTTCCTAAACAAACTCAACACAGAAATGCCCAACTATGCTGAAGACCCTATACTACACAAGCTCTGCAGAGTGCAGAAGAGGATTCATCAAGAAGAGAAGGAACAGCTTTCTTCACTGCCTTCCCCTCAGAAACACCCACACGGAGTGTGCTCTGCATCTCCAGCACTTCCTTCATAGCAGCATTCAATTTTAGCAGATTTTTTAAAAATATATAGGAGGATATATACCAACCCCGGATTAAATATTGGGCATTTTTGCAGCATCATCCTTTTTTCCTTAATACAGCTTGACTTAATTGCCTCCAAAGATTTCCCATTGCCTACTGCACTTCTTGGATGCCTTGAGGAGGAAATACTGCAAAGGGAGGTTGGCGCCAAGCAGGACGGGGCACTCCTGCCCAAGAGCTGCACTCTCAGCACACACCACCAACCTCAGGGCCGTTCCCACAGTTCACCCCTCGATAACAACCCAATCTACCTGTTATTACACTTCTCACAATCCTCCTTCTCCCCACACCACCAAACCCTATGTGTTGTCCTGGGCAGAGGTGTCCCCCACTGCCACCTCCCTCATAGGGAGTACTGGGGAACTGGTCCCAATTCTTGCCTTCCACCCTTCCTGAGCTGCCTTTTCTTTTTCTGTATACTCTTGAACATCGTGCTAGTATCTGAAAACTTTTTTCGATCAAAGGGGTGGTGTTTAAACCCACCGTGTCCCTTTTTCCTTGCACAGCTGATAGCAACACCTCGCTGAGGGACACACAGGGTGCAGGAGAGTGTTTGCTGTAGTTACTACAGACTGCGAAAAACCCCCCTCACAAACCCTGCCACATTCAGTATTTCCACATTTTGTGAAGCAAACATTCAGGACAACGACACGAAGCCGCTTGAAGAGAAACAGCACAAACCTAATTCTTCTCACGCTACCCAGACCTCAAACTAGACACGAGATTTTCGACCTAAACCGGATTTTCAGCCTGTTTTCCTACGCAAACACTCCATTCCCTCGCCGAGCAGGGCGCTGAGCCCGCACCTCAGCGACCGCCCGCCCGGGGGCCTGGGGGCGGGCAGCCGCACGGCATCTCGGGACTTGTAGTTCCCCGTCCAGCGCGACATGGCG